GATTTTTGATTGCTTCAATAATTCAAAGCCCCTAACTCACTTTTTCAACATAAAAAAAAAAAATCATCAAAGCACATGTTTGTTTGTGTTCAAATAATTCAACAGGAGATTAGTGGACATTAAAGCAGCAAAACTCCTTTTGTGGTCCTGGATTCTTCATGTTGCTGTACATGCTAGGATTAATCTTAAACTGTTGCTGTAGTGACCTTAGTGATTTAAGATGTGCATCTCCCTAGAGAATACCTCTCCCCTGTGAATTGCTACTAAAAGATCTCTGACAAAGCATGCCAAGTGCTTCTGACTTACCATTTTATTTACTGCTCCTAATACATGAATACAAAAGGATTGCATGTTACCAGAGAGGCAAAGCACAGATACATTTTTGTTATTGTAATTTCTCTCCGTCTCTAGACCCTGTGTCATATTACAACCCGCTGCATAACGCTGTTTTGAGGAACAAGCCAGACATGGTGAGGCTGCTGGTTGAACATGGAGCAGACATTGAAAAGAGGGACAGGGTGAGTCACTGTATCCGACTTTGTTCTGATTCATTGCCTCCCCGAATCATATAAAAATGTATAAACATCATCTGGTACATGCCTTTAGATCCATGGGAGTAGTCCTTTGGACCTTGCCAGTGAAGAGTCAGAGAGATTGCCCTGCCTGATCACATTGCTGGACCTAGGCGCTGATGTAAATGCGACAGACAAACATGGTATGTTCAACTGTCAAAGTGAAACCTATCCATCTGTGCATCTTTGTGCTCAGAATAATTTTCCTTTGGTCTCTTTAAAGGGAAAAATCCTTTGCTCCATGCATTAGCAAGTAGCGATGGACTGACTGTGCACAACACGGAGAACATCCGGCTCTTACTGGAACGAGGTACTGCTTACCGCCAAACGCTCCTCAGCTTCTCAGCGTCAAACTGGGCAACAAAGCAAAAAGCCACATAAAAAAACTCAGAATCGTTAGCATTTCTTTTTTTGTCGTTTATTCTAACTTTGTTTGAAGTCCTTTTGTTATTAGAATCAGTGCTTAAAAAAATATTTTCTGATGTTGTGGTTGAAGTGAATCATTTATGATGCAGGAGAAAAGCATTTTTGTCTCAGTTTTGACAGCAGACAAATGAATCTGCAGCAAAATCTAATTAGCTGACTTACACAGGGCATATGCCGGTCTATTAAAGCTTAAACTCTGAGACCAATCCCGAGGCAGGAGGTGAGTTTATGCTTTTGCCAGAATTAACCATAATTCTATATAACTTTTCTCTAACGATAAGAATCAAGAGTGGAGGTGCAGCAGAGTGATGTTTTAATGATTATGTCCAAATACGTTGGTTAGGAGTTTTCTTCTTTTTAAAAGGTTGTTTTCGGGTCACATCCGTAGTTATCAGCCTGATTCTGACCCGTTTCCATTAATCCTGTCCTGGTCCTGCCTTTGATATCAGGCTCTAACAGCTCCTTTCCAGGCTAATACGCAGTGTTTACCATGGAAGTCAGCCTGGCAGGCCAGGCTTAACCAAGTTATATTAAAGCAAAGTTTAACTATTAAGACAATTAAGGCCTAGCTATGCCTGTTGTCTGTTATATTTTAAAAGGATTTCCTCTAGAAACTCCTGTGGGACAAAACATTCTTAAGTCCCAGAATGGTGATGATGGCTCGACCTAGGGCCTTAAAATATCTGAATTTTTTTTTTTTTCCGATTTTTGTGTCACCAATTTGGTTAACCTGAGCAGGCGGAAAAACAGTAGAGCAAAAGCCTTAGCTACATGACGATATAAGAACCTGTAGCCATAAAGCGATACGTTCTTTCAGGTCACATGACCTGGCCAATGACTGTACATCGTCTTCTCACTTACATAGGCGCCATTTCTAGAAGGAAGCCGCGCTCGTAGCAATGATTGTGTCAAGGCTTGTGTTGTGTCTAAGAAGTTGACCCTCTAAGGACAGCCGTCCTCATTTGCATAATGAGGCTGAAATGCAGAAACACAGAAATGTAAAAACGACAGGCAGAAAGAAATAGCGGCGCAGAAATAAATAGGGTTAAAAAATACCAAGGAAGAATAAAACAGACATAAATATAACATGCACATAGATAAAGAATAATAATAAATAAAGTTGAAGGTTAAAACGGGCAATAAATAAGGTAATTATTACAAAGGTGGATAAATATAGAAGCTAATTAAAAGAGATACATTTATGTCTCACTGTATAATTAAATTTTTACCTACATTTATTTGTTTATTGTATTTTTGGGGGCAATTAATTGTATGCTAATTAATTGAGCATTTCTTTCTTTATATTTCTTTATTTTTAAGTATGGCAGGGCTGGTCCTCCATACACAGTGTGCTTTTAATACAGCTTTGCTCATTTGGTTGTATAATTCAGGTTAAATACCCTTTTTTAGTTAGTAGTTACAGGATTTACAAGATTGTTGCAGGGCAAACTTCTAATCATTTTCCAGGCCCAAATTATCTGTCTCTAAAACACACGGCTGAGGCTGAACACAAGCCTTTTGTAGCAGCATGAGGACTGTTCAGCCTGCAGAAGAAATGGAAAAAAAACGCCATCTGGGGTCGTCTGAGGCAAAGTAACCGAAGCTAAAAAACAATCGCCCTCTGCAGCTGTCTCTCCTGATTATTCACAAGCCGGCAGCCTTTTTAAATCCTGGAGGATCAGGAGGAAGGTTTGGGTTCAGTTTAGGATACGGCAGCTCATCCAAGCAGGTTTCAGATATTTCCTATTTAAAGTTTGTTTTTAAGTTGTGGTTTTGCATATTTGTGTTCCTATTTGGGCAAGAAAAGATTTAAAGATATTGAGATTTTTGTACATTTAAAAATGTTCTTTGACAGCAGTTTGGGAGCTCTTCCACATCCTAAGATTATGTATTTAAACAACATGAAACTTATTCCTACTTCTGATATTTACAAAAAAAAAAAATGTATTCTACCTTTAGGAGCTTTGGAAAAAAAAAACAGCATTTTTTTCAGAGGAAAATGTATTTATTTTCCTTCTAAGTAATATGAGATTCATGAAAAAAAGGTTTTATTTAAGGCTACACTGTCACTTTTAGCCACTAGGGGCACTAGACCAGTAACTTCCAGGTTTAGCATGCCTGAAGGCTAAAAGAGGCACTATCCTGTTGAAAATTTCCCTCGTTGTCTTAAAGTCTGAGAGCAGACCTTTAGACCAGCTCATTGAAACGAGTTACACCAAGGAAACATTCTCCCCTCTGGATTAAATCTTACATCATGGAACCAAAAAATATGCCTGATCAGGTAAGAGTCAAATCTCTTTCGCTGCCCAACAAAAACTTGGCTTAGTGAACCAAAGTTTTTAAGGGGAAAAGCAGCCTCCGTACTCTGCTGTATATTAACCTTAAAAGCTATTTGATGTATCTCAAATGAATTTCTATAAATTATATATATATATATTTCTATAAATGATCTTGCAGAGGTTGAATACCCTTAAGTTTTTTTTTTATTTATTTGATGCATTGCAAACTTGTGTAAGGTTTTAATGCGATGGATCAAAACAAAGTAGTACTTTACTATAAATTGAAATAAGGATGAATGTTTTACATTTTGCAAATGTTAAATCTAAAACAAATGTAACTTGTGACAAAGCTATAGGAAGTCTTTTTTTTCTCAGACTCCGTTTGAGACAGAGTAAATGTAAAAGAACATGCAGATCAAGTGAGACCAGGGTTAACTCCTCATCGTACTCTCTAAGCCGGCGGTCTTTAACAGGGGGTCTGCGACCCCTAGGGGTCAACGGAGGTACTGCATGGGGGGGGTTGCGAAGTTTTGGTTGATTAGACTTTTTTTTTTTTTTATTCCCCCTGCAATTTTTTTTTTCACTAATTGAAATGTCTTTAAATACAAATTAACATGAATTCAACACACTGTAGTAAAGACATAAATGGAGGCAGAAGATGTCTTTCAGTCATCAATGCACACATTCAGCGACACACAGGAGCTCTTTCAAGCTGGGCACCGTTTCATTCACAACGCCTCAATGAGGAATTAGAAATACTTTAATAATCCCAGAGCGAAATTACTTTCAGATATGGGTCCCCGCTCCATCTCACCATCAGTTTGGGGGTCCTTGGCCTGGTAAACATTGAAGACCCCTGCTATAAGCGATGTGTGGATGGAATTTGGCGTGGCAGCATCATGTGTTGGTGAAGCTTGCTTCAGCTGACAGATCGTCTCATACTGTGGATCGATTTTATTTTAGTCTGTCACATAAAAAGCTATAAAATGCATTAAAGTTAGCCTCTTAAACATATGAAAAGTTCTTGGTGAGCAAAAGTACCTCCTGTTTCTTCAGGTTCCCCAGGAGTATGGAGTGCTGCCACTGTAGACGGTGAAACGGTGGAGTCCTCCCTGGTGTTCTTGGTGAAGGAGGCTCTGGAGGCCAGCACGGAGGACGCCGCAGAGATTGGTAAATTCTGCCTGGAAACCACACAGCTGCTGCTTTCCCACGGCGTGGACCTCAGCTGCTGTCTGAACGAAGATGGTGAAGAGTCTCTGATGCAGGCGAGCCTGGAGCACTTCGACTTGCTTTTTCCTCTGGCGGTGCTCCTAATGCAGAGTGGAGCCTCTTTGGTTTGCTCCCATCACAGTTCTTCCTGTTGGTCAGGTTATAGCCTCCTTTTTCAGAGGCTTCAAACAGTCCTGCAGCAGTGCACAGATCCGAGTCAAGCAGCTGAGCTGCTGGAGCAAGCTGAGACATTGCTGGACTTTGCGAGGGTTAACGTCCCAACACTGCATCTGCCTCAGAGGCTGGAGCTTCCTGTGGCCAATCTGGACTCTCACCCACATGCTCAGGCTCTGATAGAACTACAAAACCGTGTAGTGGAGCATGAGGGGAGCCCTCCGTCACTTCGCTGCCTTTCTAGGGCATTCATAAGGAGCTGCGTTCAACCCTGGCCCATAGTGGACAGAGTGAAAGCTTTGCCTTTACCAGACAGATTGAAAGACTTCCTTCTTCCAGAGCTCACCTATATCCCAAAGCCAGGCTGGGAATGCTTCAAGCCACAGCAGAGCCAGGATTAATACAAACATTTTTGTTTTCCTGAAATGAAAATGTAAATTAAGCATCTATATGTGCAAAAGTAAAATTTGACAAAAACTAAATGCCTTTTTTTTTATTATTATTATTTGTGATTTTCCTTTTGTTTTATACTGTGAGATACAAATTGATGTTTGTAAAAAAAAAAAAAAAAGTTTTTTGTTTTGCAATGGAATGAAATTTCTGTATAGCAGTGTTAATTTGGATAAAATGCTGCAGTATAAACTTAAAACCACCAGATGGCAGTGTTGAATCACAGTAGATGCAGTGATCTAAGATTTTTTTAAATTATTTTAATTATTTTTTGCCTCTTATCAAAGTTGATGTGGATGATTCGAATCCATCGATATATTATCACCTTCTATGGGGATGTATTTTTCTGTTTAGTGTTTTTTTCACAATGTATTGGAATAAAACAAGTTTAATTATCATTGGCCCATTTTTTTTTTTTTTAAATCATTGTGTTCCTGGGAGGAAAAATAAATTCCTCTAATTGGCCAGTTAGTGGCAGTATAGAGCTGAGTAGAAATGCTGCACTCCCAGGCTACCTGCACAAGCAGAATAATTAATGCCATGTATGTACCACATGGTTGTGCTCATACTCAGAACCTCAGAATAGCTGCTAAATAAAGCGCCTCAATTTAAAGGCAGCAGCACAGCAGGAAGAGTCCTCCTTTTGTAGCTTTGACATAATGTGGCTGCTGAAGTAGAAAGCTTTACCAAGCATCTCTAATGTTTATGATTAAATACAGATGAATTCTCCTTCTCTCACACTCAACCCATCCAACACAGCTTTAGCAACAGAAAAACAAAAAAACCAAATGTACTATGATGGTATAGGAGGACCATAGGGCACATATGTGTTCATGTTTGAGTGTATGTGTGCCGACTAAACTAAATAGGACATTGTGTTATACAACTAACCCCTTCCTGACATTGCTGAAGCTGGAGTGGCTCCAAGGCTTGCAGGCGCTCCAGCTCCTCTTGGTTATCTAGGTCACAGCCTCTGAGGAGAAGAGCCTCAGCAGCAGCAGCAGAGCTGCATGACACACGCTTCACTCTCCTGTCCGTCTGAATCTGCCTGCTTGCTCTTGACAAAACCCCAGTGCTGGCCCTGGTAGGACGAGGGAGGGAGGGAAGATGGGAGGCGATTGAAGGAAGAAGAAGAGAGAGGAGAAAAAAAACTAACATTAAAGATACAGGGATGGCTGAGAGAGTGCGCTCGTAGAGGACATATGATAGAAAGCAACATTGGTTTAGATATACACCCTTCACTGGCTGCAGGAACATAATCCTGACCAGGCAGATGTGCACAGTACTGGCAGAATCAAGCTTCTTCTATGGAGTCCAATCCCTGCTTGTAGAAGGTGATGGAGCAGAGATAGTGTGGGGGGAGGGAGGGCTAAGCCAGTAACTCTCCATCCAACGTTTATTGGAAAAACAGCACGGGTGAAGCTCTGTACTGAAATTAGTTATTGATCTATTCTCTGCCTGAAGCCTCTGTGTCTTTCCCTGCACACCTGCTTATTCTCTAGCCTTTTCTCTCACTGGTCCAAAGACCTCAGAGGGTTTTTACTTTGTATTGTATCTTATTTTTACCTCATTTGTTTGTCCAATGTCATTAAAAATCATTTTGATATTAGATCTTTGTAGCTCTTCATAGAAAAGTTGAAAAACAAAACTTTGGAGTAATGTTAGTTTCTTAAATGAGTTAACCGAAAATGATGAAACACATAAATCACAATGTGATTTTTTTTACCTGTCATAAAAGCAGATGAGGAAGTTAAAAACTGGTTGTCTGCTTGTAAAGCAGAGAGGTACACCCAGAGTCAGACTTCAGAAGGAGCTTAACAGGGCTTCAGCCAACGGCTCCTTGGCTCTGAGGTCTAAACCTTTCTTTTTTTGTATGAAAATTTGACTTAAAACTGAATTTTAAAGCTTCTAAAAAACTACAACTGTAAAACCTTTTCACTTGTTGGATTTTCTTGTAGATGAAGAAATCCTCGATTACTAGAATATCAGACTTACAGTAAGAGCAAGCTTAGAACATACGCTGACCTTTCCTCCTAGCTTTCAGTATATTTCAGTGACTGTATTACATTGCATCATAGAGGCCTGGTATACTGTAGCTACTATAACCATCCTCCATTCATTGTCTATTTCTGTCACTCCTTGCATGGTTAGATGGGAGCTGCATGGTGCCTTTATCCACTGGTCTTCCTATGATAGTTTTGCAGATATTTGAACAGATGAAAACATTTCTAGGAATGAAGACATCTTCACAGCATAAGGAGCAAAAGTCCCCAAATACAAAAACTATCTTTTAAATTAGTGATTCTCAACCGGGGGTACTCGTACCTCTGGTGGTCTACGAAAGCATCGCAAGGGGTACATGAAAATATTTTATGTTTTTGGTAGTAAAATAAAATAGGGCTGTGCTCTGTTTTGCTTTGTTCATTAATAATTACTAACATTATTTATCCTACATTGGAGAAATTTACCTCTGCATTTAATCCATCCTTTGTGGAGCAGTGGGCTGCCATCGTGGGGCGCCCAGAGAGCAGTGTGGGGTTAAGGGTCTTGCTCAAAGACCCAGAGTGGCAGTCTGTGGGAGTGGGGCTCAAACTCAGAACCTCACTATTCCAAGCTCTATGCACTAACCACTAGGCTGCCACTATCCAACTTTATCAAGAAAAAGTATGTTTTTCTTATATGTTTGCGTTCATCAAATCCAAGCAGAGGAACAGACTGGATGTAGAGAATATCCTCATATATCAGCTTTTTTCCCACTGAGCCATCGGAGCTCATCAAAGCAGCTCAGATGTTTTGATAAAAAAGAGTAACGCTATTTAAGTCAGTCTGACTATAATTTTTGTTCTGTATTTTGTTCCCAATTCATCAAGTTTAAACATGATTATAAGGGAGTTACTCAAAGAAGCTCCAGTTTTATAAATACAGGTTTATAACATGAATTTATTTTTTTCAATTCCTTACAAACTACCAGGCAACATATTAATGTTGGAGGGGGGGGGGAGGGGGGGGGATTTGCGATGAAAGGAATAAAATGCCTAAGAATTAAATGCTCAGGTTAAAAGATGTAGTAAAATAGTTTTATAATCGGTTATTTCAATTTCCACTTTTCGACAGTTATCAATACTTTTGACTGAGGGGTCCACTGACGGTAAGATAAAATGCCCAAAGGGGAACACAAGTGAAAAAAGGTTAGGAAACTGCTGTAAATCAATCAGTTCCCACCGATCTGTTGTGATTTGCAAAGAAGAATTCTTCCAAAAGCGAAGGAGATTATGGAGAACAGTGAGCATCCTCTTCAGATTTTTTACGCAAAAGCAAAGTGTCTTAAGTCAGAGGCTTCTCCAGATCTGGTGCAAGACAGACTGATACAGAATAACCTTCCTGCCTGCAGCTATTTTTGTATTTTTTAAATGAATAGGATATGCAAGACGGCTGTGGTAGGTTTTAGCACAAAAAAAGCATTTGTAATGGGAAGGTGACTTGAATTTTTCACAGATTATTGGTTACACACACAAAAAAAAAAATGGAGGTAGCATTTCTGAGATTTTCAGAGGAGAGATCTTATTAATAATGCTCTGGCAATAACCAGCCAGGTTATTGAAGCACCAGTTTCTGTGCATAAAATTTTCGAAGTATGTTACTTGTTCTACTGTTTTTCTGCATCTTCACTCAGGAAAATATGTCTGTGGATCCCTGCAGATGGTTGTGAAGTTAAATTACCATCAGCTCTAACATACCCTACCTTCTACATATTTACTCACAATGATCGACATCTTTTTAAAACCCAAACAGCATGCCTGGGTGAAAAATGAACTATAACAAATGTGCAGAATTCCAGAGCTTTGACAGATCTGATGGTTTCTTCTTATTAACAGTTAATGCTTCAGACACAGAAAGGATGCATACATACATATGTGCAGTTCTTCCTGCTCTGCCCAGTATTCTGGTTGACTCTACAAGTAGAAAACACATTTGTTTCCAACATCTTCAAAGCCTTTGTATTATCCAGGAGTGGCAGTATTTTATTACTAGGAGTTATTCATAATCTGTTGATCGTGTTCGTACTGATAGGCCAAAGGGAGCTGTAGTTCCTCCACCATGTTTTTGAAAAAATGTTCTACTGGGAACTGTTTTTGTAATTCCCCCAGATTGGAACATTGGAAAGAATTTTTGGATGGATTATTGTTGTAATCAACAAGCACATTTTCTAAAGGAAAATGTCACGTTTTAAAGATAAAAACAGGAATCAAGCATATTCTGTAAATGGAAATCTGAAAGAAAATTAATTCAAAAATTATTTAGATTTTATATATTTAAAATGTTTTATTTTTTTTAGACCTCTCTTTTCAGATTGAGTTTTACGAATTCCATTCTTTCCAGTTGCATGTCAAGTGCAACCATTTGTATTATTTTGAAAATAATACAATTAATAAAACTCAAACTGAAAAGAGCAATAAAAACATTTAAAAATGAAAAATTGATACAAATTTAAAAATTAAGTTAGAAATATGATTTTTGATTCACATGTTTTTCAATTTCATCCTTGGATAAAAAAAAAAATTATTTTTCAAATTTTATTTTACAAAACCTGTTTCTTGCTTTCAACAATGAAAAACCTAAATGTATCCCATACAAGTGTGGAACATCAGGCCATTGACGCTAAGATGAACAAATTGGCTGAGTGGAGCTGGCTGACCTGTCAAGCATTAGCTGGGTTTTAGATTAATATGATGCAGTTTAATGAGTCAAAAATTGCCCGATCATGTTTAGAAGCCTGAAGCTTTATCTGTTTACACTGACTGCTGCCAAGTTTCACGGTTGCAATTGGTTGGAGGTAAGGTTTTGCTGCCACACATTGGTGGAAATCACTAGAAAACTGTTCAGAACCAGAGCAGGAAATACAGCATCTAACACACTTCTGTCAGAATTTTTCAATTGCATTTTTTTTTTTTTTACCTCAAGTAGTAATTTATCCCTGTTAGCAGCTTTTTAAAATCTGGATAGCGTCCCAGTTTTTTGTGTCTTTAAGCCCCTGATCTCTGATAACTCTTCTCTTCCCAAATAGATAGCTTCCTTTTAAAGAGGGAAATGTTGGTTTATATGCAGTAATTATTATTATTATTATTTTAAAAAATCAGTCTCATGAAGATATTTACAATGCAGAGACATTGTAGCCTTTATTTCTTCTGTCCATTTATCTAAAAAGTGCCATGTGCATTCAGATTCAGCCCACCTGAGATACAACTTTCGAACGATACTTCTTTTCTGCAATCACAGCCTCAAATCTTTTCAGACATTGTTTTGCTTTTTCTTTTTTCAAGAAATAAACTCAATCAAATTTGAATATCAGTGCAAATAACCCTCACTTAATAATCCATTACTGTTATTCTTAACC